GGTGTGGCGCAGGGTGGTCCTTGGGTGCATGTGGCATCTGTGTGTTGGGGAACGAGGTTGTGAGTGAAGCGAGAGACATACCTGGTGCTGGAAGCATGCGGCATTGGCCGCTATCTGCTCTTACTTCGGTGAAGCTGTTGTCGTCATCTTCGGCATTGTAGTATAGGCTAGATAGGATCTGCCATCTGTAGTCTGGGCGCCAAGCGCCAGATAGGACATCAACATTGGTTCTTCGTTGATGATGATGATGAGACTATTTCAGCATTGTCAATTATGAGCTCTTTGTGTGTTCTTATTTGGTGAACTCGTGATGCAATGCTGCTGTTGGTTCGAGGTCACGACTATCTGGTCTTATGTGTATGATGCTGTTTGATTGCTGAAGTTCGCTATCACTCATCTTCCTTGCAGCTGGATAGTCCATATGATAGCACCAAAGCCACATTGTCCTCATTGTACTATGTGGCTAGCCACATAGTCCTCATGGTACTATGCGGCTTTGGTGCTATCATGCGGGGCAAGTCGTATTATGTGGACTAGATAGTACTGTGTCGGCTGAAAATGGCACCATGTAGGCTAGGTCCGTGGGCTGGGTGGTAGAATCCATATAGTGGAAGATTGATCAAAAACTTGGAGAGAAGGATGACAAAATGGATGTGATGCTACGTGGGCTGGGCTGCAGGACCACCCGTCCCTCACTCCCTGGGACCTCCCCCCTCTCCCCAGAAGAAGGAGAAGAAAAGAGAACTTGCCCCTTCGAGCGACAGAACTTCGATGTACTTGTTCTGTTGGAGCACGTAGATGGGAGCAAAGGGGAACGGACCAAATGGCACCAAATGGGGACCAAATGGTACCAAATGGGGACCAAATGGGACCAAATGGGGACCAAGTGGGACCAAATGGGACCAAATGGGACCAAATGGGACCAAATGGGGACCAAATGGCACCAAATGGGACCAAATGGAACCACATGGGACCACATGGGACCAAAGGGGAACGGGGGGAAAAGACACGGTGCAAACTGCCAAGCACGAGCGGTGCAAAATGACAAAAAAACGGAAACGGATGAAGAAGTCTAAAACAGAAGAAAGTTCAAGAAACCCGGAAAAAGACAAGGACAGGACCCCACTAGAATTGGCGCAATTCGAGCCCATGACCTCGTCACTGTTGGTAAGACGAAAGGGGCACGAGATGAAAAAGACAAAAGAGAGAGACAAAAAAAGAACAGACTACAAACCCTAACATTATTGTATTTGTCTGACTCCATCGCGATTCGACCTCGTCGCCTGATTGTTTTTATCAGTTGCCCCGCGCGAAAAAGCTTCCCTTGGGATAAAGAGTTTGAAGTCTGAAGTCTGAACTCTTGACCTGTTCATTAACAGTTGCTGGTGGGAAAAGTGTCCCTTCCCTTGGGCCCAGTGGGCCTTGGAAGTCTGCTTTTGTCTCTCTCTACGTATTTAGTCTTAAGATGAGACAAATGCATGATGAGATAAATGCATGCAGGCACTGAG